CTTGGACATTAGGAGGCTCACAGAGTTCCGTCCAATTGCAATTTTCCTGTATGTGGGTAACACAATAATATAATTATATCGTGCTGCTCCGACTTAGGCGAATATATCTGGCAGCTTGCGGTGTGTCTTGCGGGTTGTCAACAACTCAATATTATATATTAAAATATGCAATACGCTCTCTCGCGCGCGCGCGATAACATGTGGGCTCCTTAAAGATCTCAATATACTATATTTAATATATAATATGAACTTTCTCTCTAGTGTCGTCATAATATCGAGTATAATCATTTAATAACTACAGTCAGTTCAAAGATCATCCGATTGTTAGGTCTGCGCGAAGTAAAATGCAGTATAATACAGTGACGCATAAGGGGGGAGGTGCCAAGATAGCGTCGTCTTCACCCTTTTTCCAGGCCCTCTCTTCCTCGTCGAAAGAGGGTTGCTTCGATTTGAACGTTATAATTAATCCGACAGTGATACATCGCGTCGTGGAAAATTAGATCGCAGCCTCGCTCCTTTGCAGTTTCCCTAATTTAAAATTGATACAATAAAGCGTAACATAATAAAATAATTATTAATAATAAAATTAATAGAATAAAACGACGTGGTACGTTCTTTTTTTTTTTTTTTTTTTCTTTCAAACCTGTTTCTTTTATGTAGAAATCTAATTGTTTGCTGTAAGAAGCGGAAATTCAGATTTTATCGAGGAAACTTGATTATTTCACAGGGTGTATCAGGGTGACATCACTGTCGGGTTAAGTGATAAACTATCGTTTATCGCGCATTTGTATAAACTCTAACATCTTCACACGGCGCCTCTCGTCTCGACTGCGCCGATGGGGGGTGCGAAGAGCCTACCTCCCTCGCTTCTAATACGCGTCGAGCGATTTGCTCGGCCGATTTTTTGCATCCTTATAAAATCGTCGGGAACAGTCTTTTCTGTATACGCTCTCCGAAAGCTGCCGCTAACCTCCTCCGCTCGTTCTCTTCCTCATCTTCGTGTTTCTCGTGCCTCGTAGAAAATTATAAACGCCGGAGTCACGCGGGACACACACACACACACACAAGGAATGAAAAGCGGATATCAAAACGTGAGTCTAAGCCGTCGATCGGTAAATCTCGATCGCTGTAATCACGGCACCCGCGGTGCTCGAGGCGGAAGATCTCGCGGTGCTGTCGAGGCCGAAGATCGTGTCCCAGGGGAGGCTCCTCGGGACCCCAGTTTTGGAAACCCAAGGATTCCCAGTTTCAGTTAACATGTATATATTAATATGTACATTAAAAATACTCGATATACATTCACACTCCGCCGTGACAAATAACTGCGAGTAGCAATTAATGAGGCATGCTCGTCGCCACTTCGAATTTCATAACTCGGACCATGGAGGAATTAATGCCGCGATTAATTACGTAACGCGCGGCGCGATATTTAACGGCGTCGTAATAATACATCGGCGGACGCAAATATCGGCGACGTTTAATATCGCATTTCGGATTTGGGATCGTCTCTCTCCCCCCGTCGAGATCAATCAATGGCCGCAACGATTATTAATCTCCTCGTCGGCGACGACGAGCGCCATCGAGGCGTGCGTCTAAGGTGCGACTAGCTCGCGGATTTTTGCACAGCACGGCGTAGTATCAAAATTCATAGAAACGATGAGGTCACTCGTTGCATGCTCTTTCACCGTGGGTATATGCAGTATAAAATTCTACAAAAAACACGAGGTCCAAAAATCGACGCGCCGCCGAGGAGACAAACACGCGCGGATCAGATCTGCGTTTGCTTCGCCGTCGATGCATTTGAAGTTTAAATCCTTTTCTCGGGATTTTCCCCACGGGCACTCGAGCGCATGCGAGATTTCTTGCCGATCATCGGGACCGTTCGTTGCCTCAAACAAAATTCATAGAGCCGTGTCATTTAATTAGCAATTGCTTGAGTGATAATTTCGAGTGTTGCTCTGATTTACGCTAATTCCTATGATCTAATAATAATAATAATAATAAGGATGACAATCTTCTAAGATAATTTTTCTATTTCCACGTTCGGATCGATGTAAAACTCAATAAAAAGATTAGCGATTATTCCGTAAACCGGAATCCATAAATATCCATCTAAATAACGTTAAAAAGGACCTGGAAGTGGGTATCTACTCCATTTTACACGTAATTTGTCAGTGATTTAGCTCCAAAATAGATCGCTCGAAAATTCCAAAGCACCTTTGGAAAATTTCGGAAGAAGTAGAACTGAAACTGAACGGTGTGTTTCCCGTTCATCCCGATTAATTATCTCAAAGGCAACGCAGTCCCGACCCGAGATCGATCGACCTCGAGACCGCGTCGTGTCTCTCGCCAAATGGTCCAAAGTCTTCTAAGGATCGCGCCGGTATCAATAATAATAATAATAATAATAATAATACTACGGCGCTTACTAAAATCACGCTGTGTTTATCACGAGCGCAACGGATCTGCTAGCCAGTCCGAGCGAGCGATAAGCTCGAAGGTTCCTTTCCTCTCTCACCTTAACCGGCGAGAGAGAGAGACATCAGTCAGGTCGTTCGGGTGCAATCTCACACAATCTCTCCTCTAATTCGCGTGACAATATACCCGACATCCGCGTCCGTCGCCCGAGATGGAAATGATCGTATGGATGTATCGTTCTGGATATTGTTCTCCGGAATCCGCATCGATTGCCAGATCCTCTCGATTTCGTCGTAGCGAAGAAAATGAAATCGAGAGTCGAGAGACTCGTAAAGAGAATCGTGTAAAAAGAAAAAAAAGAAAAAAAAAAAAAAACAGTTTGTTTGTCCGGCGCGGGAAAGGCGTCTGCGTCATGGATTTCTTAAGCCCGCTTTTTCGAAAAATAAGAACAATATGTATTTCAGATAAGAGACTTAGAAACTAAAGAGAGAAATGTACAGGAAAACGCGCGTTGAATATAATAAGTTAAACGGTCTTACCTCATAAAATTTTGCTCCGTTGTTTCCTTAAATTCTAGAGAGGAGGATGCTAATTTAAAGACAGCGCGTTTTAAAGGGAAAAGAAAATAATAATGTAAAGGTAAGCTTACGTTGTTTAGCGAACGATTATAATAATTATTATCGAGCTATTCTTTGCGAGAGCATCGCGTCCGCCTTTCTCTCAAGATTTGCGTGTTACAAAAGAGACTTAGATAAAATTTTCGTAGGAAATGTCGTAAAATCTCGTGGTAAATATGAAAACGCTATGCAAAAGATTACGTTAGTGAAAGAAAGGTCACTTCTCTAGAAGCTCACACCAGCATTTCCATTTCTCAGGTATCACGAATAATCCGGTCCAGGTTTCTCCGCTTTCAATTCCCCTCGAGAACGTCGCCACGGAATAAAGTGAGTAGTACGTGATAGAATAAACGCTTTTTATACAATCATCCTGACGACGATCGTCCGTCTTAATAAGATCAGCCGAAATCGTCGATGTAAGATGAATTAAACGAGGAATTAATTAACAACCGACGATAATCGAAATTAACATCGATCAATAAATTTTTCTGTATCCAAGTTGTATAAAATAATACGTTTTTTTTCTGTTCTCACTAGTGGTTCCATTCTAATATTGAGTCTTCTTTCAATTTTCCCTCAATCTCACAATCTATGATAAAACACTTAAAATTGAGAATATAAAATAAGCGATAAAATTTAATTGCGATTAGACGATCGTCGTCCGGTCTTCTTACAGATAGAAGCTATTGTTCCATCGCGTGTTTTTCTTCTGATCAACTGTCATAATATTATTTTTTTAAGAAATAGAGAACAGGGGATATATATATATATATATATATATATATATATATATATATATATATATATATATATATATATTATATATAATATATTCATTTATTTATATGTTCACGTTTCCTTCGAATATTTATAATTAGCGTACAAACGCATGCACGCACGCGACGATTGGTGGGTATCCAAGTATTACAAAGAAGCAAGTGCAAACGCAATTTCTCTTATAATGGTAACGGGATTAATATTAATTGGCTCTTACGATATTTCTCCATCAAGAGATATATATACAAATCTTTTCCCTTTCTTTAAATTGAATGACATTTCTCTGGATATCATCTCTGGATCTTCTTTGTATCGTTTGACGAACTTAAATTCATCGAATAATTACAACAGTTGTCAAACAGTCTACTATCACTGTAATTACGATAATTATCGATTAATTACATCGATAATTATAATAATCATCGAATGTGGGATGCTCTG